TCTTCAACCAACAAAATATACAGATTTAGTTTTATAAAATTAGTAAATTTAATCCTAAGCTAAAATGTAGTTAGTTACTAAAACTCTACAATGTTTCAAAGGCACCATCATGTACTGAACGCTAGTGTGCCACTCGCTTAAAGTTAGAAACTTCTGATCTGATGGGAAAAGACCACTAAGTCGATCCCAGTTTGCTTTAACTACTGATGAGCGGTCTCTATCTGCTTAGTAATAACTTCAATATCTAACCAGGCCTGATAATAATTTGAATAGACACTGCCTTATATGGATATAATCTTTGAATTAAGTAAACGCTACACAACGGAACACGTACATCCTATAATTCACCGAACTCATAATTGAAAATAATATTTTAATTCTAAGACATTTACAGTTTATGGTATATTCTTGTTGTGTACAATTGATAGCTCACTCCCTTACTAGTTAACAAATATACTTAAAAATAAATTTTTAATACTCACACTATTATAGTATTTGAATTTAATTATATTCTAATAAGAAATACTTATGAAAGTGCATAATAACCTCATTTATATGTCTGAATAGCCTTTGATTTACTTTGATAAGTCAAAATAGAGTTTTTGTCTATGTTTTTGGTCTAAAGTTTAATAGATCGATGATTTTATTTCTTTAAATTTCGTTAAATTCCATAATTTTCTAATTTTCAAGTGACATTATCCCCGCTCTATTTTAAATTAGTCGCTGTGGAAGTTTTTGAAGGACCTTTCCACTTGTCGCTTTCTAGAAGTTGAATTAGATTATTTAAGGCTGTTTCTATTCATCCGATAGTCGGACAGATAATTAATTATTGAAGATATACTTCTTTTGAGACGTTTGGGAAAAAATATGAAAGTAAAGTTTTTACGATGCGCGCGCACACCAACAGCCATAAAGCGACATGATGAAGTTAGCTGTTAACTGTTGGTTGCCATGGTAACCGTTGTTGTTGTCTGACAAATAATATAGATACAATATTGTATTCTTTCCTTAAATGATATTCTACAAATATATGCTTGTAATATGCCTAATATGCGTTATTTAATTATTCTATTAATTTATCATTCCTTTTACAAACAGAAAGTTGTGACACACGGGATGAAATCTTTAGCTATTTTTGTTCTGTTTCGCCAAAGAAGTATAACTTCTTACGTGCATACATAAGAACACACACACGGTTTTATTATTCATCCGACTATCGGATGACTAGCAACAGCGAACGTATGGCGTATTTGTCCGAGAATCGATTGAATTAAAAAAAAAGATTTTAAGGTAGGCACAAGAATTTATTGGCAAAAAAAGATTTCCTTAATCTACCGAGCTACAATATATAATTATATTTAATATAAATTACATTAAATAATAATAAAAATAATTACTTTACACACTGCCGGGCTGTCCATTATTAAGCGCATTCGATCTTATATATACCTACATCATTTTTTAACCATAGACATTTTTTTTACTTTAATTCATGTCTGATTTCACTTGGGCAATATTTAAAATAGAAGCTTAAACAAACAATTATATAGAAGTTTAGAACTTCTTTATAACCTTACGTAATAACAACCTTACAACTTTATTTACCTCAGAATAACTCTTTAAGAGATGAATTTTCCAAAATCATTTATATATTATACCGAATTTCATCATAATCTGTCCAATGGTTTTCTTGTGATGCGTTCCCACGCAGGCAGACAGACAGATAGACAAAAAAATCTAAAAACTATACATTCGACCTCTGTAATAATGACTACTTCAATAAGATTTTCCAAAAAATATTTAATGTACAGATTTGACTCAGAATTTTATTATATTTGTAATATACGTAAATGATATTGTATTGTTTAGCTATAGAGAATAATTTTAGTTCCACGAAATTTTGATGAGATAAAAATAAATCCCCTGTGTTTAGGGCAATAAAGTTAAATACACGTATATGTAAAGATTTATGTACATAGGGAAGGACATATCGTCGGACCTAAATAAATACAAGAAGTAATATAAAAAGTTTTATTCTAGGGATATATATGTAATTTTCCTACGTCGAAATCAAAATTGAGTAGTTTTTTTATAACTAAGTGTATTTAAGACTAGCGTCCTCAACCTCGCTTGCTTCGGATCTCAGTATAATTACCTGTTACTTATTATGTAGAAATCCTGTTAGTCTTATTCGGGGATATGATAAAGCAGTTATATTCGCCAAAAACTGAATGCTCTTTTAAAACGTGAGTATATACTTACTGTTAACTTTAATTTCAATTTTATTTTTCCTCACTAATGTAAACTATTATTATTAAGTTACTATGTTGTTGTCTTATTAGAATGCAGTGTTGCTTATAATTAGGGCATCATTAAGACTAGATCTTCTTTTGTTTATTACCATGTACAATTGTAAGGATGTATGCTCTGTTAGCGACCTATGTAATGAATAAAAATAAATAAATAAAACCGTTTTATTAAACTATGAAAGACTGATAAAAGATGTTAAGGGATTTTTGTGTTTGATAGCATGTTAATATTACTGAGTTCTAAGCAATCGATTCAAGTGTTTTTATTTACAAGTAACCTTTTTTTAAATGAATTAACATGTATCACTTGTACAACAAGTTTTCGGTAGTAAACCCCCCGCAAAACTCTTTCAACGGTGCGCTTGATCACTTACGTGCTGACTTACGAGGTTCCTACTGCTGACCTAACGAGAAAGACCAAAACTATAACCACATTGTTGACAGCAACCATTTATAGTTTTGGTCTGCCTCTAATAGTGAAGTGAACCGTAAAGCAACCAATTCCGCTCACGTTTCACTCTGTTAAGTACACTGAGCAATCCGCACAGCATACCTTTCAAATTCCAGAAATGCTTAACGCTGGCTGGATTGCCAGACGCTTTTAAGATGAGGATGCACAAGTAATCTTATATCTATATATTGAGTATCCATTATATATATATATATATATATATATATATATATATATATATATATATATATATATATATATATATATATATATATATATATGTGTATAATTTTTAATATTTTTCTATAGACATTATCAAGAGGTAAACTTATGCATTCGGTAATATCAACCACGTACACCTTTCCAACACGTTTTATAATAGAGTTTGGTATTATCTGTTTTAAAGTTATCTTTGGTCCGCATTCTCACGGAATGCTCCGGGAAGTCCATATAAAGCTTTAATACCCGGTGTCACGTTTGCTCGCGCGTGTTTGATTCTAGTTTAGCTTATTTTCACGTATACCAATTTGTATTATAAATGAAAATCTCAACTCATATCCTGCTGTTCTAGAAAACGATAATGACATAAATATTGCTTAAGTGTTAGCTGAACTCACTTGTTAAATTTTATTTAGTTTTTTTTTACCCAATATGCTGCCGTAAAATTTACTATTATAATCAGAAAATATTTCTTTACGTCATAGATACGTCGGTCATTGTACATAACAAAATGTATATAAAATACATCATACGGCACTTTTAAAGCAGTAGTTGCTATGAGTTTTAAAGTTAGATTAATGATACATATACATGTAAGTAGATAAATTACTTTTCAAAATTCTATGGCAATTTATAATCAAGGTAATACTTTAAATGCTCCAAATATGGATAATACTTATAATATAAAAATCTGCTACAATTAACTGATAATTGGATTAATCTGTGAACATTCTAGGAATTGAAGTCGATTCAATACATTTGTGGAATCGATATTATTTAACCACCGCTAAAGCTTTCATTGCAAGCTCAAATCGAAATAGTTAAGCGGATTTCATTTGGTTCCACGTTTTTGGAACAATAAATACGTAATATAACAGAAATTAATAGTAATTATTTATTTGAAATAGGTAATTATAATTTATTTGGAAATTTGTAAATAGCTTAATTGCACTATTATGATAAGCTCATTCTTTAAAATTTAAATGATAAAATGGGAGTTATTATAAACACAAATGTATTATTAACGATACAGAGGCCAAATCTTTAGTTTTTAGAAAATTTGTCTGTCTGTCTGTCTGTTACCGCATCACAGAAAAAGTATCCCTTTAACTGTATGTACAGCGTGAAGTTGATAATTAAATATTAACAAAAATACTCATAGATTGCAATTTTTATTCTTATAAAAACTATTTTTAATTCATATACAGACTGATTCATTGAAATAAGTCGATTGTATTGTATTCATCCCTTTTAACGTCCCCCTGCTGGGGGTGGGCCTCCCTTCAATACGAGGGGAATCAGGCCACAGTCCACCACGCTGGCCAAGTGCGGGCGGGCTTCACATGTCTTTCGAAAACTTGCTAGGTTCTCCCAGACATGCAGGTTTCCTCACGTTTTCCTTAACCGTAGTGGCAAGTGGTAATCATGTTAGAAATGATTCGCACATGAATCTATTAGAGGTGAGAGTCCTGAGATTTGAACCCGCTTAACTATATGTTCTTTTTCTATATTAAACTATAGTTTATATATTTAATAAAAAAAAATACTCTTCAAAATCCATTATGAGCGTCCGCACCACGTAAAACAAGTCACTAAAGGTTTACAATTACAATTGAATGGTTTAAGAACACACAGAATACAAACTTTTTTTTTTGAGATTTTGATTTATATTTATATTGATTATATTGTTGAGATTATATATTGAGAATTTGCTTGCAATAACAGATAACTGATAACAATTAATCCACAAATTACAGGACACATTAACAGAATCGATAGTGTTTAACCGCCTCATGTTGTACCATTGCGAACTCGCGCCTGAACTGTATTAAACGAATTCCATTTAACTCTACATTCAATTAAAATAATATATTTTACTCGTTATTAATTTACGTTAAATATTCCTAGAATTTATCACTGAACTATTAAGTAGAAAAACAAATTTAATTTTTTATATGAAAATAAAACAACGTTCAAATAAATAAATATAATATACATATAATATGTAACGTATTTTGTTATATTTGTGTAAATAAAATCTCTGATTTCTGTAAGATGATTCTTCTCGCTTCTGGGAAATAGGGTAAGATGTTGATCCATGAATCCAAGCTTAGTGTAACTATCCCAACCTTAAAAATATTACCCTAAATTAATGTAATATTATTTTGAATTTCTAATATGAAACCAATAAACTATTAAAAAAAATCGGGGTCGTATTATTTAAAAAAATATATTTCTGTCTATTTATTGACCTTTCTTTAATGCGTGGCTGTTGTGATTAACTCTTTCTTTTTTAACATTGCGAAATGCATTTACACATATTACCTGCATATATACAGGTGGTTGTGTGGAACTCACCGGCTAGAAAACCAGTACTTCCCATAAAAACCCAAGTGAACCTCCTTTGTCTTTATGGGGCATCGTGACTAACTAAGTTATATAGTTTCAAGTAAGTTACTAAAAGAAATTAAAATATATTAACTTCACTTTGCTCTATACTCGTTGTCTAAATCAAGATATTGCTATAAGTAAAAATGGCTTACTTGACACCGCTTATTTAGCTAAATATGTTATTACAGACTTAAACGTCTCTGAATATATTTACAAATAAGATTATTTAAAAACGAGTTCAAATAAATTTCAAAGTAAATCACCTTGGTTTCAGCTCTGTAGGAGAAGCAGTGTGATATGCCTCTATTGAGTCCCTGGAGCAAGCCAAATACATCCCCGGGTCCCAACAGCTCGTGCGTGGTCTCAGTCAAATCTGATTGCACAGAAACTACTGACACAGCGCCCGACGCCACCCAGTGCATGCGAGCTTCACTATCACCCGCTACTACTATATAGTTACCTGAAAATTGATTAAATATTATTTTAAATTCGATGACTGCCGATGATGAGTTGCAATATTTAACTTTTTCCCAGAGGTCACAGATTCGAGTTCCGCGAGAAATATAAATAAGTCATAATCGAGATGACTTCACCATGTAACCGCTCAAAGGATTTTAGTGAGCTTAGATTATGAGTAATTGTACATAAAGTTTTCTTAATTTTTGAGCATTTATATGTTTAGTTATAATATTCATATAAGCAATTATATAATCATTGTATTTTTGTTAGACAGGAAATGTATTAGATGCCTTTTCCTACAACTCTGTACAGTGATGTATGAACCAATTAACTAACTCATTTTTCTCTATTTATCAACTTCAAGTAGTCGACTACGTATAAAGATTGAACGCATTTCATTTGTGTTTATCGTTTGTTATTATTAATGTCTACATATTCATATAATGATGAATACATATTTTTTGGATATTTTTGTTTTTTATTAATGTTCGAAAATATCTTGCAGAACGCTCAGTGTGAGAATAATAAAATTAGCCGTATTTAAGTATTATTATAATATGTTTTGAAACTTTTAAGCAGCTATTATTCAAAAAAATATTAAAATAATAATTGTCATATGCCTGTGACATGTACCTATATAAATCCTGGCTGATATGTACATCTTATCTATAGAGGTGAAGAAAAGTAGCAAACTTTATATGTGGAATCAGATTATTCTGGCTGCTTGTGTAAGTAAAACTACAACGTTATTTCTAAGAACAAAGGTGTTCAAACAAAGGTTGTTACCTGGAAAGTAGACCGAGTAATCTAACAACACGGTAAGCTGACGAAGGAACGGTTCGCCGGTGTCAGCGAATATATAACAATTCCGTAAATGTTGGCCGAACATCGAAGACATCAGGTCGCAACGAAGCACGTACGGGGTTTTCGCTATCAAAGCTGGTAACTAAAGGAAAGAAACTAAACTTATTAAGTAATTTTAAGTTTTCGATTCATGCTTCATTTACTTTAAATTAAATCACGTAACTCTTGTTAGTGTGCAGCGAGCGTTATTTAAGGTAGGTAATAGATTTTAAGTTCATAGAAGTTGTAGTGTGTATGTGTATAAGCCTCCCCGATGCCTATATATTGTACGACCTGTTATAATTAAGAGAGTATTAAACGAACATTGGAGCCATTATATAGTTCCCGCATTATAAAATTGTAAGAATTAGTCACTTCTACCTTTTCCCAAAACAAGTATCTTTGATTACATAATTCGAAGGCTCAGCGTAAAATATTGTAACTACGATTTCATGAAAAAAAATTTTTTTAATTTTTTTTTCCTTTTTATAATTTGAAAGATAACAAAATAGTAATCCGTAGATTCTTCAATAACGTTTCATTATTAGTCCAGGATCCCTGATCTATTTTTACAAGTAATTAGTATCAAGCCAATTTTCCGTGACTAGCTTCATTTTGATGAGACGCCCAACTTTTTCTCTTACAAAAATTCTCGATTGTGGTAACGCACTGATGTATCGAAGGGGGATATCGTTTCGTATATTTATTTTGCTACTTTAGTTTTGACATTCACTCTATTGAATTCCAGTAAATCTTTCATACTGGTTTAGTTTTAATCAACAGTCAACATTTTTTGAATTTTTTATTTTTATAGCAACATGACGGAATAAATAGGGTGGATAAATAGCCCTTCGGAGCTTTCAGTCACCAAATAAAACGTAACTACTATACTGTTGGGTTTTGTAACTTTCGATGTTTATGTGTAGATGTTATGAAAGTGTAGTGCTCCCCTGTCGAGCTAGCCATTTATAATAATACTAGAGACTTACCCTCGCTCCGCTCGGGTTCGTCTCTAGGTACGTTTTAACGGTTAGTATGAAACCAAAATCTTTGAATTTCTCGACTTTTTGTACTATAATATGTATATATTATACATATAAGCCTTCCTCTTGAATCATTCTATCTATTGCTAAAAACTGCATTAAAATCCATTGAGTAGTTTAGAAGATCTAAGCGAACAGACAGCGGAAGCGACTTCATTTCATACTATGTAAGGATTGAATGTTGATAGACGGTTTCTTATAACAAGATCAGACGAATATTGTCTTCATAAAAAACTAGCAGAACTCGCGGCTTCGCTCGCGCTAAAAATGCAAAATATCTATCTCTAAACAGGTCGGTTTCATACAAACTTTTTTCCTCTATTTTTATTTTAGCTCCTTATAAAATGAACATCGAAAAATGCTAAAACACGTATTTATTAATTTGTACTGAAGAGTATTACCAAGTTTCAAGTAATTCTGATCACAAAAATTTATTTGGTTTGTATTATAGCGTGTTTTCCCGTAGGAATAAAATAATCTCCCGCGGTAAAAAGTAGCCCGTGTCACTCTCCAGCCCTCCAACTGTCACACAAAATCACGACAATCCGTCACTCTATCTCGAAGTGAAAGAAGGACAAACAAACAAACAAACAAACAAACAAACACACTTTCACATTTATAATATTAGTATGGATTACCAAGTACAGAATTCAACCGCACTTAAAGGAGATATCCAAATTCGAAAAACACTGTGCCATGATATCCTTTGATAACTTATTTATGTGCTCTTTCATATAATCGCAATAAGTTAACATTTCAACATTCAGTATGTGACCGATGACTAAGCTTCGCTCGGCGGTTCTCTTTTTTTTTTGTGAAAAGTTTCGTTTTTTTTCAGTAAAGACATGTATAAAGATAATCTTAAAATGCAAAACTAAATCTAAATACAAATTTTGATTCAAATCATTAGAGCCGTTTCCAAGATACACGTATATACATACATACAATTACTATTCTTTATTGCACTTAAAAAAATCAATATTTAATATTATAATCTATACATATAATAAAATTCTAACTAAGCCGAATTTGTACACTAAATATTTTTTGGAAAATCTTATTGAAATAGACATTATCATTGATACAGAGGCCGAATCTATAGTTTTTAGAATTTTTGTCTGTCTGTCTGTCTGTTACCGCATCACGGAAAAACCACTGTAGGGATTTTGATGAAATTTAGTATGATGATAGCTGGATATCCGGGTCAGCATATAGGACACTTTTGACCGCGGGAAAATATCTCATTTCTGAGAAAAAATACAAAAACTGCAATGTAAGAGTATACTAATATGTAAAACCTAAGAATTTGGTTTTTGGTCATCTGAACGCGGGCGGAGCCGCGGCAATGCTAGTATATAAGATAAAAAGCATTTTTGTTTCACCTGACGTCCTCTTTCAGTAATCCAGAGCTGTCGAACGTACTTCCAAAATTTTGTTAATTGATATTCTGAAACAGTTATTATTTTTAATAAGATAAACAAAACGTTCATAATACTTTAATATTATGAAAGTTCTTTTAAAGTGTTCATAATAGCAAGTTACCCGATGAAATACTTAATTAGAGACTTAATAAATAGAGACATTTATCAAAGAACTTTTATATTTTATTAATATCTTTGCTTTTATATTTATTCAAGTTATAAGTAATTTAGAATAATCGAAGTAAGCTTTTTCTTGTTAAACATATTATGAGCGTCTAATATAAGATTATATTAAATAATAAATATTCATAATTCCACCTTCAAAGGTACAGATAGATAAAATTGAAGTGTCTGTTTGTAATGTCAAAATAACAGCGTTTTATTAAATACATATGAAATTATATACGGTACTTATAAGAAAATAACAATTTTTTAAATTTTTGTCAGTCTGTCTCTTTGTTCCGGATAATCTCTGAAACGGCTAGACTGATTTTGACGGGACTTTCACTGGAAGATAGCTGATGTTATACGGAGTAACATAGGCTACTTTTATTTTAGAAAAAAATGAGGGTTCAGCTCAAAAAAATTAAAACGTACCCAGGGAAGAACCCGAGCGAAGCGAGGGAGAGTTGATACTTTAGCTATAAGAATCGTTTTAAAGATAGATACATACTTATATAATAATGAGTTATAATATTGTAATTGCCTTGAAATATAATAAAAAAGATATAATATATAGCCAAATAAATATTTAAGGAGCAAAATAAGGAAAAGTGTATCTATTTATACTAATATTATAAAGAGAAAATTAATGTTGTATTTTTGTTTATAATGATTACACTAAATATCCGCTGAACCGATTTAGATGAAATTTGATAGGAAGATAGTTTGAACACCTTGGTTAGAACTCAAGTGGGAGATCTAAAACTCATCACACCTCATATATGTATATACTAATACATACTCTTTTTCATACTAGCTGTTAAAACGTACCTAGGAACGAACCCGAGCGACACAAGGGTAAATCAATAGTAAAATATAAAATTAATAAACTAGCTATTTTTTCCATGAAGTTAAAATTTAATTTGTATAATATTTCCTTAGTTATTGACAGTAATAATGTTTATCTATTATATTGTTCATTGCCTGAATCATTCAAAGATATCTTTATTTCGCTAAAAATATGTACTAATTAGTGTTCTATAATATTTTAGTTTTGCTCTTTAAAATATTTTCTTTGCTATACTTTCCTTCATTTCAAGTAACCATCGAGCAAAGACATTTTTCGCTTATCAAAGAAATTTTCCTTTAAAATAAATTAAAAACTATAATAAAAAAATAAAGAGAAACGAAGTAGTTTTGTTTAGTAGTTTATTTATTTCAATTTTATTTCGGGTCATATTTTAGGTATAACTAATAAAAAAAGTTTACATAATACTTTCTTAGATTTACGCGAATATTTGACATTTTAAATAAAACTATCTTTTCGGATTTTTTGTCTCCCGTGACCATAAATGCTGTAAACAGCAAATGCAGAATGCTGAATGGTCAATGGTCATTCGAAACGTCGGGAACCAAAAATCCAAATAAATCCGCGAAAAAATCCGAAAAGATAGTTTTATTTAAAAAAAAAGTTTACTTTTATTTTTTAAAACAGGCAACTGTCTGTCCTATTACTATTTAAATTTCAACGTTACAACACTATAAGCATATGGTTATAAATGCTATGATATATAGTAGGTTATTATTTATGGTTTGAGGTGGACTTTTATATTTTTAAATAAATATTTTAAAGTACCTATGATTTTTATACGTATGAACGTAAGTATCTGCTTAAGATTAGCTCAAGAGTAATAGTGTATCTTTAAATGGGAAAATAAAGCAGAATTGATAAATATCATTTTTTTTATTAAAGGTTGGAATAAATGGTCGGTCGCGTGATATGGAAATAAACGTAAAATTTAATTTAAAAGTAGCTTTCATCCGTGATTGTTTATTTAGAGGTCACAACATGATATTAGATTGACTTCCTCTTAGTGCAATTAGTCTAAAAACAGCCTAACCACAACATCCAAAGTGAAAGTTTCCCTCCAGCTCCAAAGGAGGAGGGTTGATATGGGCCATTTTCCGCCCATCACAATCTCAAAAAAAAAAGTTTCGATTTCCGGCTATTTTTATATATTTATGTATAGTTGAAGACATATATTTTTTAATTCATAATCATTTAAGTGATAAATATTATACTAAGTTACAGATATCATTGTTCAAAAACAGGGTGTTTCGCCTTTTTTGTATATTTTTGTCGTTTTTTTTATCTTTAAATTATAATTTTATAATGAAGCGCTCCATGAACCACAAAAACTTTGACTCACATTGATACTACTCTTTATGAGCTTGTAAATGAGTACTATTTTATTTTGGTTCATTGTGCGCTTCACACAATAAGAAAAAAATATATTACGCGCGAAAGTATTCAGTGCGTTGCGAGAACAAGTTCATACGTGATTTATATTGCGCTCAAAAAGTATTTACGTAGTGTGCTATCGAAATAGTGTTCTGCGGTTGTTGTTGCGATTGTTTGTTGTAAAACTTAATAGATAATAATGCCTGGAAGACAGTGTGATTGTTGTAAAACGTGGCAAAAAACAAATAGTGCTTTTCGTACCTGTTCTAATAGAAAATCTTATCGATACTTAGAAATTCTAAAAATTGTGATCTACAGAGTGGTTCTAAGTTGTGTTCGAAATGCAGATCATACGCATTCCGTGTGGTTCGAGCTCAAAATATTCCTATTTCATCTTCCATAGTGACAACAAGAGTTCATGCTTCAACAAGTACTGCCGACGACACCTCGAAGAGACCAAATATATATTTATCAATACCTCGT